TCAGCCCTAAAGTCATTCCGATCTGGCTGAAAAGCCTATGAGAGTATTTCAGGCATAGAAAGCCAAGACACTCTGGCAAAAATAAAATAAAATAAAATAAACCTAAATGAAAGATCTCTGCGAGTGTGATCCCAGTGGAAAGAACAGGTCTTCAAAGAAGGAGGTACCTTTCTCTGAAGGGAGGAGAGAACCTCCACTTTGACTATGACCTTGTCTAAACAAGATAAGAGTCGGAGAACTCAAAAGTCTTCCATAGCCTTGGAAACTCATGACTGGAGCATAGGGAGATTACTGATGCCATAAACAAGAGTGTCAATTGGTAAAGTCAACAACAGGAGTCACTGTGCACTTACTCCTCATGTAGGATCTCTGTCCTTAATGTGCTGTACATTGAGATTTAATGCTATAACTAGTACTCAAACAGTATTTTTCACTTTGTGTTGCTATGGGGGTGCAAACTGTTGAAATCTTTACTTAATGTATACTAAACTGATCCTCTGTAAAAAAAAAAAAAAGGAAAAAGAAATTATCAATTCCCAACTTGACTCTCACTGGGATTAAACATGACAATAGGTCTGATCTGATTTCATCATCATTTAAAAAATCATCTATTATTTTTCACTTTATGTTTCTGTGTGGGAGCAAACTGTTAAAATCTTTACTTAATGTATACTAAACTGATCTTCTGTATATAAAGAGAAACAAAAATGAATCTTGATGTGAATGGAAGGGGAGAGGGAGTGGGAAAGGGGAGGGTTGCGGGTGGGAGGGACGGTATGGGTGGAAGCCATTGTAATCCATAAGCCGTACTTTGGAAATTTATATTCATTAAATAAAAGTTTAAAAAATACCACTATTCAGCACCTACTTGTATTCAAGAATTCAGATGTTTCCAATCTCCTTTCCAGGTGTCACCATAGAAAAATATCTGTATTTTATACTTAACATTACACTAACAAGCTGCTATAAAGGTTCTATATCATGTTATTTTCAAAAATGGTTTCTACTTAGTACAACATCAGGAGAACAGAGTTTTTCTTTTACTCCCACATATTTAACAATACCCACGCTTATCCTTGTACTTAAATATTTCTTGCAGATTTATAGTCAGCATTCTACACACAGTAATAATGCTTTGAAATGTCAGGTATTGTCTTATCAAATTTCAAGTTGTAAAAACAGTATATTCAATAGTGTTCCTCTCAAAATCTCATTCAATTGACAAGGCATCTATAAACAACATAGAATCATTCATTTGGCATTGGTTGAGCTGGAATAACTCTTTACTTTTTAGGCAAACTCAATTTTAAAAGCTGAAGTGATTCCTTGTACCAACTAGGGCCTTTTGTGCATGATGCTACACTGGCTACATTAAATGACTCATTTAAATTAGTAGGACTGCATTGTTGCAAGAGGACAAAACTTACAACATTAATGCATTACTAATTATCTTATGAAATGTAAGGATACAATTCCTAACAGCCCTACACAGATGGGATAAACAAGTCAAAGCTTCCCCTTCAAAGGTTATTTGCCCTAGCATCTCACATGCCAGGTTGGACAACTGCACTCAACATGAGAGTTCTGGGTTCCATTCCTGGATCCTGCTCCTGATTACAGAATCCTGCTCAAGTGGACTTAGGAAGGCAGCTCCAGAACTTGTGTCTCTACAACCCATAAGGGGAGCTGGAATGAGTTTCAAGCTCCTGTATCCTGGCTTTAACTTGGCCCTACACTAATCATTGTAGTAATTTGAGGTATGAACCGCTACATGAGACCTCTCTCTGTCTTCTTTCTCTGTCACTCTGCCTCTCAAATAACTTTTAAAAAGTAGAAAAAGAAAAAATGTACCATTTCTACATTTTAATATCATGCAACCCTTACATTTACAAATCATAACAAGAGACAGTACCTCAGAATCACACGGTGATTCTATAGCTTCATCTTCTGATCCTAAGGTAGAATACATATATATAAAATGTTGTTACAGATTCATTAATAAGCATATTTATAACTGTGAATTATATACATACAAACATGCTTATCTCCATTCAAAACATTTCAATAAACTATAAATAACATCAAGAAAGAATTTCACAGGGTTGAAGCAGTTTCAGGAAGGAGAAATGGTCAAATAAAAAAAGATAGCAAAAAGAAAAACACTAAAAAATGGATAGCAAAAGAAAAACAAAATTTGGAGCTATGCATTTCAGTTCATACAACAGCATATAAATAGAAATTTAGTGATATAAACTCACTTACCACTTGTATCAGCTTTGAGGAGTCTATGAACAGAATTTAATTCTTGTATAGTAGCTTGGTCTCCTGGAGCACTTTGGATAGTATTAATATTCTCACTCTTACCACTTGCTGGATGTAATGTGTCTTTCTATAGTGAGAAAAAAAAAAATAACTTCAGCTAACATACTCAATTTCTTAACCACTCAATCAGTAAGAAATTTAGTATGCCTTCCATCTTATAGGCATACATTTACAAAAGCTAAATAAAGCAGAGGGCACTTCCTGCCATATGTTCAAGAGGGGATATATAGCAAAATAGGAAAGTACAAAAATGTATAATTCAACATTTCTACCAATGAAGTCAATAAAATATAGTAAGGGCAAAAATTAGAGAATCCACAGTTCGAACTTGGAAGCTTAGAAAGCACTGTAAAGTTAGGGCCACATTTTGAAAGATCAAGTGCAAAGTCATAAAGGGCATTCTAGATAGGGCAGCAAGAGCAAAAGGATGGAGTAGGACTCAAGATGGCAAACTAGGGCCTCCAAAGTAGGGAGAAAAATTGAAACATAATTATTGATAATGGGCTAGAGATGTGTACCAAGGATTTAGAACCTACCTACATTTTAACTCTCCCTTTTCACCAAATAAAAGCGTAAATATGCTTTAAAAATTCCATTCTTTCAAGAATATGGTTATATGTGATAACGTCTTCAGTTAGACAAATATCATGTTTGATGCACCCAGAGAACTTAGGCTCCATAACTGGATGAAGACTCGGAATAGGGAAAAAACTCAATCTGACCAGGGAATGAGGATAACCAGAGGCTTGGAGGGTTGAGGTGGAAGGAGGGAATCTGGATAATGGTTACTAAATCAGAGTTAGATTGAAAGGGCAACAGAGTCATGGGGACATTTTATTTGACAATAACCTTGACACTGTGTGTGTTTGTGTGTGTGTATTAGAAAGGAAGAAACTCCATGCCTCTAATCACAATTTCAAATAAGGTAAAATATTGATGACAGTGAGTTTTTTAAAGATTTATTTACTTATTTTTTTATTTACTTAATTATTTGAAAGGCAGAGTTACAAAGAGGCCGGGGAGGGCAGAGAAAAGGAGGAGGAGGAGGAGGAGGAGAAGAAGAAGAAGAAAGAGGGAGAGAGAGAGAAAGAGGTCTTCTACCCACTGGTTCACTCCCCAGATGGTCGCAACAGATGGAGCAGGGTTGATCTAAAGCCAGAGCCAGGAGTTTCCTCTGAGTCTCCCACTCTGGTGCAGGAACCCAAGCACTTGAGCCATCTTCCACTGCTTTCCCAGGCAATAGCAGAGAGCTGGCTCAGAAGTGGAGCAGCTGGGACTCGAACCAGTACCCACATGGGATGCTGGCACTGCCATGGTAGCTTTACCCGCTAGGCCACAGCGCTGGCACTGATGACAGTCTTTTGACTGAATATATGTATTGAAATGACACATGGTATTCCATAATGTGTCCAGTTTTATTAATAAAAACTGTATTAAAATTAGAGCAGAGAAAATCAGAAAAAGAACTTAGTGTCAAGAAGATAAATATTTGCACTACACACTAATATAGCAAGATTAAATGTTGCAAACCTACACTGAATTCTGAAATTTGGAAAATAAATGAGGGAAGAAATCATTAAATTCATTTTTTAAACTGTACATATCAAAATTCATATCAAGGGTATAAAATATAAGGGCCAATATTGTGATAAGCAGGTTAAGCTGCCACATGCAATGACATTATCCCATGAGCACTGGTTTTAGTCTCAGCTTCTCCACTTCTTTTTTAACTTATATTCAATAAATATAAATTTCCAAAGTACAACTTTTGGAATGTAGCAGCTTTTTCCCCCATAACCTCCTTCCCACCTGCAACCATCCCCTCTCCCACTCTCTCTCCTATCCCATTCTTCACCAAGATTCATTTACAATTCTCTTTAGATACAGAAGATCGATTTAGTATATACTAAGTAAAGATTCAACAGTTTGCACCCACACAGAAACACAAAGTGTAAAATACAGTTTCAGTACTAGTTATAGCATTAATTCACATTGAACAACACATTAAGAACAGAGATACCACATGAGGAGTAAGTGCACAGTGACTCCTGTTGTTGACTTAACAACTGACACTCTTGATTATGGTGTCAGTAATCCCCCTAGGCTCTTGTCATGAGTTGCCAAGGCAATGGAAGTCTTTTGAGTTCGCTGATTCCGATCTTTTATAGACAAGGCCATGGTCAAGGTGGAAGTTCTCTCCTCCCTTCAGAGAAAGGTACCTCCTTCTTGGATGGCCCATTCTTTCCACTGGAATATCACTCACAGAGATCTCCCATTTAGGACTTCTTTTTTTTCCAGATTGTCTTGGCTTTCCATGCCGAAAATACTCTCATGGGCTTTTTAACCAGATCCAAATGCCTTAAGGGCTGATTCTGAGGCCAGAGTGCTATTTAGGACATCTGTCATTCTATCAGTCTGCTTTGTATACCACTTCCCATGTTGGATAGTTCTCTCCCTTTTTTATTCTATCAATTAGTATTAGCAGACACTAGTCTTGTTTATGTGATCCCTTTGAATCTTAGACCTATCAGTATGATCAATTCTGGACTGAAACTGATCACTTGGACTAGTGAGATGGCATTGGTACATGCCACCTTGATGGGATTGAATTGGAATCCCCTGGAATGTTTCTAACTCCACCATTTGGAGCAAGTCCGATTCAGCATGTCCCAAACTGTACATCTCCTCCTTCTCTTGTTCTCACTCCTATATGTAACAGAGATCACTTTTCAGTTAATTTAAACACCTAAAAATAATTGTGTGTTAACTAAAGAGTTCCACCAGTGGTATTAAGTAGAACAAAAACTACTAAAAAAAAACAATAGTAAGCTGTTCCTCGACAGTCAGAACAAGTGCTGATTAAGTCACTGTTTCTCATAGTGTCCATTTCACTTCAACAGGTTTCCTTTTTGGTGTTCAGTTAGTTGTCATCAATCAGGGAGAACATATGATATTTGTCCCTTTGGGGCTGGCTTCTTTCACTCAGCAGGATGTTTTCCAGATTCTTCCATTTTTGTTGAAAATGACTGCATTTAATTTATTTACTACTGTATAGTATTCTATAGAGTACATTTCCCATAATTTCATTATCCAGTCTTCTGTTGATGGGCATTTGGGTTATTTCCAGGTCTTGGCTATTGTGAATTGAGCTGCAATAAACATTAAGGTGCAGACAGATCATTTATTTGCCAATTTAATTTCCTTTGGGTAAATTCCAAGGAGTGGGATGGCTGGGTCGAATGGTAGGGTTATATTCAGGTTTCTGAGGAATCTCCAGACTAACTTCCATAGTGGCTTGACCAGTTTGCATTGCCACCAACAGTGGGTTAGTGTCCCTTTTTCCCCACATCCTCTCCAGCATCTATTGTTGGTAGATTTCTGAATGTGAGCCATTCTAACCAGGGTGAGGTGAAACCTCATTGTGGTTTGATTTGCATCCCCCTGATTGCTAGTGATCCTGAATATTTTTTCATGTGTCTGTTACCCATTTGGAATTCCTCTTTTGAAAAATGTCTATTGAGGTCCTTTGCCCATCTCTTAAGTGGGTTATTTGTTTTGTTGTTGTGAAATTTCTTGATCTCTTTGTAGATTATGGTTATTAATCCTTTATCTGTTGCATAGTTTGCAAATATTTTTCCCGTTCTGTCAGTTGCCTCTTCACTTTCCTGTTTCTTTTTCAGTACAGAAACTTCTCAATTTGAAGCAATCCCAATAGTTAATTTTGACTTTGACTGCCTGTACTTCCGGGGTTTCCAAGAAGTCTTTACAGGTGCAAATATCTTACAGGGTTTCTCCAATTGTCTCCAATAATTTGATGGTGTCAGGTTGCAGATTTAGATCTTTAATCGATTTTTCTGTAGGGTGTAAGGTAGGGGGTCTTGCTTCATGATTCTGCACGTGGAAATCCAGTTTTCTCAGCACCATTTGCTGAATTGACTGTCCTTGCTCCTGGAATTGGTTGTAGATCCTTGATCAAATATAAGTTGGCTGTAGATGTTTGGGTTGATTTCTGGTGTTTCAATTCTGTTCCATTGGTCTATCCATCTGTTTCTGTACCAGTACCACGCTGTTTTGATTACACTGTCCTGTAGTATGTCTTGAAATCTGGTATTGTGATGCCTCCGGTTTTGTTTTTGTTGTACAAGATTGCTTTAGCTATTCGAGGTCTCCTGTGTCTCCATATGAATTTCAGCATCATTTTTTCTAGATCTGAGAAGAATTTCTTTGGTATTTTGATTGGTATCACATTAAATCTATAAATTGCTTTTGGGAGAATGGACATTTTGATGATGTTGATTCTTCCAATCCATGAGCATGGAAGATTTTTCCATTTTTAGGTATCATCTTCTATTACTTTTTTTATTAACTTTTATTTAATGAATATAAATTTCCAAAATACGATTTATGGATTACAATGGCTTCCCCCCCATACCGTCCCTCCCACCCACAATCCTCCCCTTTCCCACTCCCTCTCCCCTTCCATTCACATCAAGATTCATTTTCGATTATCTTAATATACAGAAGATCAGCTTAGTATACATTAAGTAAGGATTTCAACAGTTTGCTCCCACACAGAAACATAAAGTGAAAAATAATAGATGATTTTTTTAAATGATGATGAAATCAGATCAGACCTATTGTCATGTTTAATCCCAGTGAGAGTCAAGTTGGGAGTTGATAATTTCTTGTTTTTTATTACTTTTTTTTTATTTAATAATTCTCATTGTAGAGATCTTTGACATCCTTGGATAACTTTATTCCAAGATTTCTGATTGTTTTGTAGCTATTGTGAAAGAGATTGATTTTAGCACTTTTTTCCCAGCTGTGGCAATGCCTGTGTACACAAAAGCTGCTGATTTTTGTGCATTGATTTTATATTCTGCTACTTTGCCAAACTTCTATGCATGTCAACAGTCTCTTAGTAGAGTTCTTTGTAGCCCCTAAATAATCATATCATTGCTTAGAATTTTCATCATGAACGGGTGTTGTATTTTACCGAATGCTTTCTCTGCATCTATTGAGATAATCATATGGTTTTTCTTCTGCAGTCTGTTAATGTGGTGTATC